CCAAATAAGATGCAGGAAATTTATTGCAAGAACACTATATTCCCAAGATAGTATTATGATGTTTAACAATCCTCAGTGAATAAATCTCACATATCTACCAAGGGCAGCGGAGCATCCAGCAGATGGAGCCGAAGCACTTGGCCAATATCGTTTGGGCTATGTCCAGGCCACGCGAAGCGCATGAGATTTCATACCGGTGGTGGACCCAAAACTACAAGACATTTCGGGAATTTAGGTTTTGGCAGGTACCAGGTTCTCACCCACTGGCATTTTCTGAGCACCTTCACAACTTTCAACAAACCGTTCCCCTTTGACTCACTCACATGGATGTGGTAAACTTTATAACTTCTGGGAAGTTGCTTTTTTCATCCTTTTTCTCTACACACGGCCCTTGGGAAGACGATCGTTTCTCTACACACAGCCCCTGGGAAGACAATTTTTTCTACACTAAGGTGATTTCATCTTCCACCTTAAGTCTCAGCGAGTTGGAAGTGCAATGGACCGCCTTCCAATGGACACGCCTCTCCTCCCATCGCGTCTCGACGCTCGCGGAGCTCAAAGGCTGGGCCTACGCGAGCAGACCGTGCTGCAGCACCTGGGAGATGAGCTCTCCCTGCCAGGTGGCTTCGCTTCGCACCGATTGGCCGAACAGCCGAACCGGTGAGGTCGTGGAGGTCGTGGAGGTCGTGGTCGTTTTTGGTTTGAGGTTGCGGTTTTGGGGGGTGGGACTGGATATTGTGAGAAGACCTTGTCAGCTAGTCGCCCCCTGATGTCAGTTTTGTTGCTTTCAAGAAGTGAACATGTAAGTGAAATACATGTAGTTCCAATTTACACTAAGGTGGGTCATTCAACAAAGCCCCAGACACAACATCATAGTTTGGTGAGCACATAAGAACGACATAGTTCTTCGTTCCAAAGACAGTAACGAGAAATCCCTTGTCGTTGCAAACTTGCTGAGGTCCACGGTTTTGGCACTTGTTTTTGACTATGAGTCCATGCGAAGCTTCCTCAAGTGAACAGAAGGCTTAGGGTCGCTCTAGAATCAATACCAATAAGAAGAACTGGGATACCATGTTGCATGCTCATCAACTTTAATATATTTATGTATATGATGGACGTCAGTGCTTTCCGTTTGAAGACCTTGAGCCTTTTATCCCAAACCAAGAAACCCCCAACTACTGGACACTCCACATCCCACCATGCCATGAACCGCTATTCCCTTGCATTTTTTTTTACAAAGCGCAATCCTTTAGATTTTACGGCTCTCAACATCACACTCTTGAGGACCACTCCATTCCATCGGCTCCAACCGCACACCTGCCGGCCCATCCCTCCGGGTCCATCGGAGCGGGTGGCACTTCTCCAGTGGTCCCACCGTGGGTCGCAGGAGCTTTGGCTCCCTTCGCCGGCCGCGACCTGGCGATGCTGTCGCGCTCCTTCGCCTCCCTCGAGGTCTCGAGTCGGATGGGTGGGTGACAGTGGTCGGAGCCAGGGCTTTTTGGGGCAGGTGCTGAACATTCATTGAAGGATTCATGAACAGAATCCATGCAGTGAAGCTTTCATGCATGATTTTGTGATGTGGAAGATTGGAAGGTCTAAACGAATCACGGCAACAGAAACTTTGTTGTTGACCCAAACCATCCCATGAAGACAACAAAAACATCAAGGAACAACTGCAATGCCCTTCATATCTCACGTTGCCTCAATCAATCGGTGCTGTTCCACGAATCGCAGTTGCCCCCGGCCCGTGCAGGTGCTTCATGAGCAGCTCTTTCGGTCGGTGGCCGGGGAAGCGAAGAGGAGCGGATTGAGATCCTTCAGCTTGCAAGACTTACAGGTGCGGACCCGGCGGGCCGGGCCTCAGGATGCAGTGAAGCTCTTGCAAAATAGGTTAGACTCCATGTACCCAGACAGCTAGCTTGCAGTCTTTTTGGGAGGGAACACAGATGGAAGATGGAAGGAAAGCTGGACCTGTGACACAAAAGACATCACCCCAAAAGCATCCAAAGGCCTTCCAAAGGCATTCCAAAACCTCTAAACCTATCTAAACCTTTTGGATCATCTCACCCGGTCACCCGACTTCGGACCGGTGTCCGCCATCACTTCGGCTCAGCGGCGGGCGCCTGAGCGAAGGCGGGCGAATGGGCCGGTGGGTTTCCATCGAAGCGGATCTTGTTGGTGAAGCCATCGAGATCTAAGGAAACCCCTGGCCGCCCATTACTTTTCATCCATGGTTGATATATGTTGATATATCACGTGTGTTATAATCTTAATCTCATGGCAAGTCTGTTTAAAAAAATCAAAGTTGAAAGATGTTGAAAGCAATGGGCCAATGTAGAGTAGTTCAAGGAGCCTGAAGTTCCCAAAGAAGGTGCTTTTTTCCGGCGCAAAACACCGTAAATCGCACTAATTAATATACGGGTATTCTTCAGTTGGCCTATCCCAGGTGGCACATGAGTTCTTCCATGACCAGTAGGATCACCAAAAAAGAACTGATCTCAGCTTTCAACTTCTCCGATCCATCTAATGGTTGCTGCTCTTTCCATGGAGGGAGCCGATCGCAGTGTACGTGTGAACGTGGCGTTGCCGAGTGGACGAATTCATCCCGTCTCCGTCTCTGAAGACTGTGCGAGATTTGGCTGCACGACAACTGGTGTTGCAGCAAGGATCAGCGAGGTCTCCGAAGAACATCGTATGATTGGAAAGCATGATATACGTAGTTGAACCCTCATGATCCAGGGATTCTAATGCCATGCTTGCTGACATCTTTGAGACAGACTCTGATTTCTAAGATGTTTGTTTCAAGGACTTGTCCAGATACAGGGTAGAATCAGCATGGGTTTCAGAAGCACTGGTCCATACTGGTCCCGTGGTTTGCAGCAAACTAAGGCCTCGGTCGGGCGGATGGTTCGATCCCCCAGGGCACTTGCTTACCGGTCGCAGTCGGGGACCTCGTGCATCCATTGGTCGTTCCATCTCGCGATGTCATGGGCCAGCGGTTTTGAGACATGATCCACAACATTCCGATCCATCATTCTTTGGAGTAACAAGTGCATCACTACTGGTAACAGGGGCATTACTACTAGGGGTTTTGTCGTGACTGTTCCTCTCGAGCGGATACGCCGTTCATTAGACACTCAGATTCATGGCTCTGGTGAATCTCTCCGAGGATTGTGGACCTGAAAGTGGCTGCTCAGAAAGCCATCAGCCAGGGTTTCCTACGTTTGATTGCGCCGGATGGTCGTTTGCTTGCACCCGGAGCTTCTCTGGAAGGTGTGGGGCTTCAAGAGGATGACGCTGGGCCCAAGTTTAAAGTTGCCTGAGGTTACCCTTCAAAGGCTCCATGTGCATCACAAGAATCTGAGATTCAAAATAGTTCTTGCTTTGAGATTCAGAGCCCCCTGTTCTTGTTACCGTAGCAAAAGCGCTAATACTTGCCGCATAACTCAAGGCCGAGTGCCCATCAAACCTCATGTTGGGGTATCACATGTTGCTTTTTTTCTTCCCCGACAACGAAGTTCCTTTGCACGATGTACAAAGACAAGAGTGTATGATTAATTATGATTACAATATACAGTTGAAATTTAACTTATACCCATATCGCCGCCAAGTGCGCATATCAACCCTTGCCGCAAGATGTCTTCCAATTG